TACTTGTGTATTCTAATGAAAGTTATAAAATAAATACTAAAGTTTATGTAAATTTTATAGGTGCTAAAATCAATCTATCTAATTGAATTCCAACAATCAACAAAAGTGCTCTATTAAAATCAATTCACTGGAAGTTGATACTCAATATTCCAATTAGCAGAGAAAGTTTTATCGAAAGACGGCAAGCATCGGAAGAGCATAAATTTGCAATTCCGCTTCATCCGTATCAAGTATAAATCTTAATTGTTATCCGGTGAACTTTGGCCCAAGCAGCTTTGTTTCGAAAGCCCAGCAGCTTCGTTAATTAACTTTTCGAGATAAAATTATTCCAGATTCCATTCAATATAATATAGAAAGTGCCTCTTTGGTAACTCCTACTTGATTCTTATATATTGGATATTTTTTCAAATTAAAATTCCCACAGCGTTCGCCGATATTGACTCAACGAAGCGACGACGGTGTAATCGTGGCATTTCCTTTTGTAGTTGGACGCTGGAAGGACACGTTCTTTTGAAAAATCTTTTTCAATTTTCTTCGAAGGTGCCAATTTTTACATTGGTCTTTATTATGGAAAAACCTGTATACAAATTTGACTAGTAAATTGTATTTCTCATTTTCAAATATGTACTTGTTACGAAGTCAATAAAATTTAGTAAATATCTTTGGAGGAATATTTGAAGTTGAGATAATATGGCCAGTTCTGATGACGTATTATTGAAATTAGTTTATCTCACCAGCGAAGTACCGTCTGATACAGGAAAAAGGTTAAGAATCGTTTCGTTCAAGTATGTTTAAACTTAAATGAAAAAATTTAACGAAAGATTAACTGATATTACTTATCCTCGAATTAGAAGGAATAATTCAGGTAATAATTCAGGAAATAATAGTCAATCGACTAACGAATTAGCTGAACTTTATTCAGAAATATCAACCAATAACCCTAAGTTATAGAGACTTGGAAATAGCTGATTTTTATTCAAAAATTTCAAGACACAGTTCAGTTCGAGATTCAAAAAGTGAACTTTCAAGTAAACCTGAAAATATTTTAGTAGGCAACTAGACCAAATGCTTCAAGATGGAATGGAATCATCCAACCATCCTGTTCTCCTTGGATTTCCCCTATATGGATTGTTCCTAAGAAAACAGATGCGTCAGGACAAAAGAAATGGAGACTAGTAATGAATTACAGCAAGCTGAATGAGAAAATCATAAGTGATAAATATCCAATACCAAATATCGCAGATATAGTAGATAAACTAGGACGTTGTCAATATTTTACAACTTTGGATTTAGCCAGTGGGTTTCACCAGATTGAAATGGACCCAAAAAGTATTCCTAGAACAGCATTCAATATAGACCATGGACATTACGAATACACACGTATGCCCTTCGGGTTAAAAAATGCTCCTGCTACATTCCAACGAGCAATGGATAAGGTTTTACGAGGATTACTAGGAAAAGTCTGTCTAGTATACCTACATAAATGCTAACATTATCTATTCAATCAGCCTTCAAGAACACATAACCTCTTTAAAACTAGTATTCGAACGATTAATGTCTTTCAATATAAAAATATAGTTGGACAAATCTGAATTTTCTGAACTAGTCTACTAGTCATCTCAAACACTTAACTAGAAGATGTAATACACCAAGATGATCAGAAAGAGATAATAGATAGATACTATACAACTAAATCATCACCTAGAGGAAAGACCGAAAATATCAAGAATATCGAGCAAAGATATTATTGGCCGAGTCTAGAAAGAGACGTAATCAATTTTGTAAATACATGTGAAATATGTCAGAAATCAAAATACGAGAGACATCCTTATAAAGTCATTAAAACCAACACCAACGGGATCTAAACCTCTTGAACATATTTATATGGACATATTATACTCATTGTTAGGATAGAATTATCTAAGGATAATAGACAATTTTTCTAAATTTGCTGGAGCATATCCGGGGCTGCGTTCACAATTATAAACCTGGAATGTTCACCTTACCTCGATTAAGGTAACGGGTGACGCACGACCCTTATAAAGTCTGTTTTTTTTTTTAAAGATAATTCCCCAAGTCAAAAATTTAGTAACTATGTTGGCAACACAAGCCTTTTCTATATTAAAAATTTGAAAGCATTGACAATTTTACAACTGTCATTTTGACTTTTATCTTAAAAAAAAAACGGATTTTAGGGTCGAATTTATCGAATAGTCACTTCTTAAGGTTTTCTTAGACCTTAAGGAAGCCGTGAATGCTTATAATTGACATGACCAACTTGTCAAATTGTAGCAAGTGTTCATTCTAAACTTCGACCTCCAAGGAAGATTCGAAGAACGACTACAAATTTGTCCCTAATAATTGATCGCTGTTCACGGTTATCATCCAAATCCAAATATTGATAAATGATTGACTTTTCATTTTGTATTTGTTTATTTGTTTATCTACGCCAGTGAGTTGAGAAGTTCTTAACTCACATATTTTCATTACCGCACTCTTTCTTAGGGACAACATTTGAGGGATCAAATTCCAGATGATTTGTTGCGTAATCAAGTACATACATAAATAAATTGGGCTATGCAATTAGTATTTTTTCTTGTTTGTAACATTAGTTTTTACATCATTTATAACAGGTCTTCAAAAAAAAAACTAAATTAAAGGGTACTTTGATTACAAAAACGTACGTCGCATTATTGTTTATTAGGCATGATTTTTGACATTACCAAATTAAATAAAAAGAAAACCCGTTATAATAGGTTTGTTTCTGTAGAAATCACAAACCAGTCGCCCGGTCAATTTTCAACCCGAATCGTGAAGGAAGTTAAATATTACCGAGCGGGAACTGTGAATATCGGGGCAAAGCTTGGACGTCGCCGTGCGATTGCCAGCCGACAATTGTAAACGCACCCCGGTAAATGAAACATCAATAGAGAATTGTCAAAGTTTAATATAATTCATGGTACACATGGTACACTAAGTAAAATTACCACTGACAATGCACAAACTTTCAAGAGTAATCTAATACAAGACCTTTGTAAAACGTATAAGATTGAATTGCATTTTACTACACTGTACAGAATGTCCAAGATTTGATGGTTTTGACGTGTTTCGGGTAGAGGAGTTCTGTCTGACCCCCACTTGCGAGCCTCGATTTTCAAGAGAAGTTCCGGTGAAACCCGCATCTCGATATCTTGATTCATTTTTAAACTACAAAAAATTATAGATCCCCTGCCAAACTTCAAACTTTTCAAAAACCCCTCGTAGCATAAAATGACTCGAGATATCGAGATGCGGTTTTCACCAGTCAAATTCTCTTGAAAATCGAGACTTGCAAGTATGGGGATCAGATCTTTTCCCAACTCCTTTAGAAATACCCGAAACCATCGAATCTATAACCCAAATTCAAACTTGCCGATCGAAAGATTTCATTCGACGATAAAAGAAAGCATAATAGCTTCACGAATTGGCCATCGTACCAAAACAATTCAAGAATTAATTGATATAGCAATTTTAAACTAAATATAACTATAGTATTTATTCAGCAAATGACTACACCCCTTTTCAGATATTAAAAGGAAACGTCGATTGTCAATTAAACGTTGAAAAACACTTAAATCAGCTTCAAACTGAGACATCCCAAGGATATTAAAAGAAGATCGTTATTTTCAGGAATAAAATATAAAGATAATCTTCGCATTCTTCACAGTACCTACTACCGCTACTTATCAATACTCAATATAAGATCGAAGAAATAAGAAATCTTCTGCTACCAGTTTACCAAGAAACTAGTTACATAATAACCAATTATCATCATGTCTATTACCATGTAAATTTAGCTAACATGAAAGATATCATAAAGTCAACAAAATTAACCCTTTTACAAGTCAAAAGACATATCTTCAACCCAGACAATTGTTAAAGAATTCACTGAAGATATCGATACAGATAATACACAATTAAAGAAGAAACTTTGTTAAACCGAGTTAATGAACTCATGACAATAACGCAGCCTGAGACAACAACGACATACTTCATTCTCTTTATTCACAGTATATTTAACACGTTCGGGGACAATTTCTAAAAGTATGTTATTCTTAAAATGTCAATTTTCGTATTTGGTGTGGATAATTGGGTTTTTCGCCGTGAACTGGACAATTTTGAGGTGACTAGACACTGTGGCAGGACTAATAAATTGAAAATACATGAAGCTATATGGGATCAAAGACGGCTAGAGCCGTTATTTGTTTATAAAAGAAAATTGGGATGACAGCTATAGACGTCATGTCCCAGGCAGGGGAGATGCTTTAGCAGTACTATCCGCGAACGTGTTAAGTATCAAGAACTATGAGCCATAATCTCGAAATTTGATCTTAGCTCTCGAATCCCTTTTGATAAAATACTACGAAGTTGCACACGCAGACGTCACCATTAAGAATAACCCAATCATATTCTACGTTGCAATTCCTTTGATATCAGATAAACGTCACATTCTTTATCGCATATATCGAATTCCACTATACACAACCAGAAACCCTTATTTCATGAGATCTAATGAAATGACAGATTTTATAATATAAAAGAAAACTGTTTTAAAATCGAAGATATATCATTATGCCACATCAAATTACTCAATCAAAATCAATGAATTCAACCAATCATTGCCCAATGACTCCTATCCAAAATAACGAAACTTCTGTCACACAATTAGAAGAAAATTCCCTTATAATTACCCCATTAAAAGAAAGCAATTACTTTCAATGTCCCAGCCAACATAGTGTTGAAGTAATAAATAACATTTCATTGATTTTACCCTCGATTTGTAAAATCATAATTCAAAGAAATAATTATGATTCCCAAAAACCAGATAAACATTTTGCATTATGAAACTCATATACTACTGTACAAACGTAATAATCTAAACTAATCCATTTGGCTTACATGAGGTATTAAATTTTGATTCAGGAGAATCACAAATATGTATTCGTAATAATTCTACTTACGTGTATCATCATATGTTATTCCCAAAAATTCTGAAAAACATTTGATTCTGGCCACAGAGTTATAGGGAGTCGGAGGCCAGCATAGAATCTTATCAAAAGACGTATTACAAAATCCATCAGGATGCGTTTTTAGAAGACGTTTCGTCTCGTTGATGTACATTTTTTCGCAGTGGTCCAACGTCATGTTTTGGCCTAGAAGCCTGAAAAAAAAAACATACATTTCTGTCTGGAAAAACGTGCCATTTCGGACAAAAATCTTACTTGTAAGAATAAGAAATATCATCTCCACTATCACTATTATTTCCTATAGGAACAATTCCCATAAAATTGGAAGGATGCGAAACGTCGTGGTCCATTGGTCCTTGATCCTGTTGCCAATTTTGACCGAACCAATTCGAACTCATTATTCGTACACTTTATAATATAGTTTTTTACGCACTATTGTTTTACATTAAAAACGCACACCCGCTTCGCATGATGTAATAAACTTCGTACAGAAATTGTTTGTTCGTAAAATGGATTTTGTTGTCCGGAAATGTCCACGGCGTTTTGCACATTTTCAAATTTCGTCCTGCTGGAACGGTGGTGAAATGTACAGCGACAATCTGTAACAGACATAAACGTGTTAAAATTTAAATAAAATTGTAATTGTCAAAGGTGGCGTAATTTATTTAAATCTCTGATTGTTTATGTGTATTTGCTTATAACCAGTTTGTAATAATTGAAAAATGTAGCATGCAATTCAATAGGAAGCCTTATATACGATACAAAAGAAAAATGCTTGAAAATTTGATTATTATTTATATATATGCTTTTATTAAAATTTTTATTACCAGTGTTTATTTGAGCAAAACAAATAGGAGTTATTTGCGCTAGCTTGGTTAACTTTATGGAACAATGCCATACGAGATAAAATTTAATTAATATGTCACATTTTGTGGTGTATAAGTACCTACTTGGATTATTTTTTGTTGATAATCATTACCCTATTCTATTCACGTTATTGAGTCATATCCAATTATTCAATCTTGGATGTACCTAATGATGTCTTGGAAAAGTAACTTTATTGAATGAAACTGTATTCACTTATACATACAAGTATTTTCCACTTTTTCAAAAGGAAAAGCAATCTCAATAAAAATTTTCCAAGCATTTCGATGCAATTATTTCAATATTTTCAGGACTTCAGGTATAGAAGTTATTAATAATTGGAGGGGCAGTTTCTCTTTTGTGAAAAGACTATTTTTACAATATTTCATAATTTATATTTATTTATTTGTTTGATGGAAAGTTGATTGAATGGTCTATTGAAATTTATCAAAGAATAACAACATTTTTTGATTCTGATTTTTTTGAAAAATCATGACAATATTCAGGGATTGTAGTCCCTTTATTGAGATAAGATTCAGTGAAAATTTCAGCTTTCTATCTATAATAGAAAAAAAGTTATGCCCTTTCAAAATTTTCCAAAATCTAAATCATAAGGCTACCTTCTTACTAAAACGATGAAATTTCCAAAAAAAAATTGTTGACATTTTGTGTCCTAATAGTCAATTAACATTCCTCAAACTCCATACACTAAATTATTCTGAGATTTGAAGGCGAAATCTATGGAAAAAGGCACTATGGGCCAAGTTACCTTCCACCAAAGTAAGGAAATGTATCAGTGTAAAAGTTAAAATATTAAAACCTTGAAGCAAGTAAGTAAGCAGAAGCTTTTTCCATGTATATTCCTTATAGATTTACTTATAAAAGTCAGTGTTGCCAGATCTCACGATTATTCGTAAGATTACACGATTTTAGTCAGAATTTCACGATCTCACGAATGAGGTAGCAAATCTCACGAATTCTCTCTGAAGTAATACAAATCAGTAATCAAATATAATGTAATCGGAAATAATCGAAATAAAAATCTACTATACAATATTTAGTTATGTTACGCCGCTCCTGGTACATGCGCGCTCAAGAACACTTTACCTAATATCACGGCATATACAAAAACAATCAGCAGGCTAACTTGAGCTTTACATCCCAAAATGGCGGCGTGCGCAAATGAGATGGGCGTTAAATCTCATTGTTTTGCCATTTAAAGATAGGCTGTATCCTCGAATGGCGGCGTGCGCAGAAGAGATGCGCGTGAGAGTTAACCTGCTGTTTGTTTTTGTATATCCTGTGCTAATTGGACTGCTTATTGAGCTGAAAGTGTCTGCGAAGTCCACGAGACCCCACTATTTGTGACGTCAGCTGCAGACCTCAACTCTTGGCAGAAAATGCATTATCCGAGTCCAAAAAAACGAATTCATAAACGTTGAAATCGCCTTTTCCTAATTTAAAACTCCCAATAATATTAACTCCACAAGCACAGCCTGAATCGCAAGCCATCCATCGAGGTCTGCGGGTGACGTTACTACTATCAGTTGCTGATAGTAGTGACGTCACTCGCAGACCAGCTGCCGACTTGAGAATTGGCGAACGTACGATTTTTTAGGATAAGCAATCCTGCGGATAATGAAAACGAGGTTCAGCTCTCAGAAACACCTGCTAAAAAGCGGAAAAAACAAGGATACAAGATTTAATAATAAAATTTCAATATCTTATGGATGTAAAATCATGTTGTCTACTCTATCAAAAATCTATAGAAGAACATTGTGCATTATTTTTTTACAAGCAATTTTAGGTCTCACGATTTCTTACGATTTTTCTTTATCGATTCTCACGAAATTTTTTTATTTCATCTGGCAACACTGATAAAAGTAAGTACCTATAGGGCAAAGGAGATCATTTAATTAAAAAAATATACAGAAAAGTTACATTTAAAAGTTTTTCTTCAGTCAGAGGATTTCGATAATCTATTGGGATTTCGGAATTTCAGAAGGATTTTGGTTGGAGGAATTTCAGAAGGGTTTGAGTTGCTGGGATTTCAATTGGGATTTCACAAGAATTTCGGATAGAATTTCGCGATTTCAAATGGATTTTGGAATTTCCAAAGGATTTCGAAATATTTCGGATATTCGACTTTCAACCTTGTACCACTAAGGATTTCGATAAATCTATTGGGATTTGAAAAGGATTATTTTGGTTGAAATTTCAGTCGGGATTCTGGGATTTCAGAAAGATTTCAAATAGAATATCGCTGTTCGCGATTTCTAATGAATTTTGGGATTTCCATAGGATTTCAAAAGATTTCGGATATTCGACTTTAAACGCCGTACCACTAAGGATTGCGATAATCTATTGGGATTTCAGTTAGAATTTCGAGATTTCAGAAGGGTTTTGGTTGGAATCTCAGGATTTCAGAAAGATTTTGATTGGGATTTCGAATTTCAGTTAGGATTTCAATTGGGATTTCATAAAAATTTCGGATTAAATTTCGTTGTTTGCGATTTTGAATGGATTTTGGGATTTCCAAAGGATTTCGAAATATTTCGGATATTCGACTTTCAACCTTGTACCACTAAGGATTTCGATAAATCTATTGGGATTTCAAAAGGATTTTGGTTGGAATTTCTTGGGATTCTGAGGTTTCAGAAAGATTTCAAATAGAATATCGCTGTTCGCGATTTCTAATGAATTTTGGGATTTCCATAGGATTTCAAAAGATTTCAGATATTCGACTTTAAACGTAATACCACTAAGGATATCGATAATCTATTCGGATTTTAGTTAGAATTTCGGGATTTCAGAAGGGTTTTGGTTGGAATCTCAGGATTTCAGAAAGATTTTGATTGGGATTTCGAATTTCAGTTAGGATTTCAATTGGGATTTCATAAGAATTTCGGATAGGATTTCGTTGTTTGCGATTTTAAATGGATTTTGGGATTTCCAAAGGATTTCGAAATATTTCGGATATTCGACTTTCAACCTTGTACCACTAAGGATTTCGATAAATCTATTGGGATTTCAAAAGGATTTTGGTTGGAATTTCTTGGGATTCTGGGGTTTCAGAAAGATTTCAAATAGAATATCGCTGTTCGCGATTTCTAATGAATTTTGGGAATTCCATAGGATTTCAAAAGATTTCGGATATTCGACTTTAAACGCCGTACCACTAAGAATTTCGATAATCTATTGGGATTTCAGTTAGAATTTCGAGATTTCAGAAGGGTTTTGGTTGGAATCTCAGGATTTCAGAAAGATTTTGATTGGAATTTCGAATTTCAGTTAGGATTTCAATTGGGATTTCATAAGAATTTCGGATAGGATTTCGTTGTTTGCGATTTTAAATGGATTTTGGGATTTCCAAAGGATTTCGAAATATTTCGGATATTCGACTTTCAACCTTGTACCACTAAGGATTTCGATAAATCTATTGGGATTTCAAAAGGATTTTGGTTGGAATTTCTTGGGATTCTGGGGTTTCAGAAAGATTTCAAATAGAATATCGCTGTTCGCGATTTCTAATGAATTTTGGGATTTCCATAGGATTTCAAAAGATTTCGGATATTCGACTTTAAACGCCGTACCACTAAGGATTGCGATAATCTATTGGGATTTCAGTTAGAATTTCGAGATTTCAGAAGGGTTTTGGTTGGAATCTCAGGATTTCAGAAAGATTTTGATTGGGATTTCGAATTTCAGTTAGGATTTCAATTGGGATTTCATAAGAATTTCGGATAGGATTTCGTTGTTTGCGATTTTAAATGGATTTTGGGATTTCCAAAGGATTTCGAAATATTTCGGATATTCGACTTTCAACCTTGTACCACTAAGGATTTCGATAAATCTATTGGGATTTCAAAAGGATTTTGGTTGGAATTTCTTGGGATTCTGGGGTTTCAGAAAGATATCAAATAGAATATCGCTGTTCGCGATTTCTAATGAATTTTGGGATTTCCATAGGATTTCAAAAGATTTCGGATATCCGACTTTAAACGCCGTACCACTAAGAATTTCGATAATCTATTGGGATTTCAGTTAGAATTTCGAGATTTCAGAAGGGTTTTGGTTGGAATCTCAGGATTTCAGAAAGATTTTGATTGGAATTTCGAATTTCAGTTAAGATTTCAATTGGGATTTCATAAGAATTTCGGATAGGACTTCGTTGTTTGCGATTTTAAATGGATTTTGGGATTTCCAAAGGATTTCGAAATATTTCGGATATTCGACTTTTAACCTTGTATTACTAAGAATTTCAATAAATCTATTGGGATTTCAAAAGGATTTTGGTTGGAATTTCTTGGAATTCTGGGATTTCAGAAAGATTTCAAATAGAATATCGCTGTTCGCGATTTCTAATGAATTTTGGGATTTCCATAGGATTTCAAAAGATTTCGGATATTCGACTTTAAACGCCGTACCACTAAGGATTGCGATAATCTATTGGGATTTCAGTTAGAATTTCGAGATTTCAGAAGGGTTTTGGTTGGAATCTCAGGATTTCAGAAAGATTTTGATTGGAATTTCGAATTTCAGTTAGGATTTCAATTGGGATTTCATAAGAGTTTCGGATAGGACTTCGTTGTTTGCGATTTTAAATGGATTTTGGGATTTCCAAAGGATTTCGAAATATTTCGGATATTCGACTTTCAACCTTGTACCACTAAGGATTTCGATAAATCTATTGGGATTTCAAAAGGATTTTGGTTGGAATTTCTTGGGATTCTGG